TTCTTTCTTTCTTTCTCTTTCTCTCTCTCTCCCTCTTCCTCTTGCTCTAAAATCAATACAACATATTCTTGGGTGAGGATAGAAAGAAAAATCACAGGCACAAATTCTGAGCGTTACTATTAAAGGATGTCCACTAGAGGGAGCCAAAAGTCCATTAGCTTGAAGGTGAGGTTCTTAAATCAGTTCCCCACAATCAGCAAACAGAACAGTTCCACTTCCCCTCCCCCCAAAAAACTCCCTCCTGCTCTGACTCTATAGGCACAGCCTCCTGCTCAACCCCCTACTCCCAACACACAGTACCATTCCATTGTACAGACATACAATGTTTACCCATTCATCCACTGAAGAACATTTAGGTTGTTTTCAGCTATTGGTGATTATTAAGAGAGCTGCCATAAATATTAATGTACCAGTTTTTGTGTGAACATAATTTCTCCTTTTTCTACGGTAAATGCCCAGGCGCAAGAATACTGAGTCACAGTGTAAGAATATGTTAAACTTTAAAAAAAACCTCCCAAACTGTTTTGTAAAGTGACTACGAATCTAGGCTTCCCACCAGCAATAAATGAGATTTCCAACTGCTCTGCATCCTCACTAGCTCTTGATACTGTATTTTTATTTTAGCCATTCCAATAGATATGTAGTAGTATCCTGTCATGGTTTTAATTTGCATTTCCCTAATACTAACTATGTAAAACATTTTTTCAAGTGTTTATTTGCTATCTAATTATCTTCGATGAAGTATCTGATCAAGTGTTCTGTTCATTTTTTAATTGGGTTGTTTTCTTACTGTTGAGTTTTATGATATATATATGTATGTGTGTGTGTGTGCGTGTGTGTACAGTGTCCAAAAAAATGTATACACACTTTAACAGCTTATAGCTCAATTGATGTTTCTTTCTTTTCAAATTTAACCCATTGGAATTAATAATTATTCAATGTGTATACATTTTGGGGGGACACCGTGTGTGTGTGTGTGTGTGTGTGTGTGTGTGTGTGTGTGTGTGTGTATTATTTCCCATTGATTTTAGAGAAAGAAATGAATGCAGAGGGAGAGAAAGAAACATTGATGAGGGAGAACCATTGATTGGCTGCCTCCTGCACACCTCCTATAGGGGATCGAGCCAGCGACCTCAGCACATGCCCTGACCGGGAATCAAACCAGTGACCTCTGGGTACATGGAACAACGCTCAACCAACTGAGCCACAGCAGCCAGGGCTAGTTCTTAATATTTTTGATACCAGTCCATTGTCATTTATGCATTTTGCAAATATTTTCTTCCCATCTGTGGCTTGTCTTCTCATCCTCTTAATAGTATCTTTCACAGAGCAAAAGTTTTTAATTTTGATGAAGTCCAATTTATCACGGGGTTTTTTTTCTTTCATAAATCACACTTTTGGTGTCATGTTTAAGAACATAAAAGACATAAAGATTTTCTTCTGTTTAATTAAAATTTTTGTAGTTTTACATTTAAATCTATGATTCACTTTGAATTTTTTGTATAAAGTGTGAGATTTAGGTTGAAGTTCATTTTCTTGTATATAGAAGATAGATATCCAATTGTTCCAACACCCTTTACTAAAAAGACTACTCTTTTTCCTTTAAATTTAAAAGAAATTTACACCTTTGTAAAAAATCAATTGGTCACATTTGTGTGTGTTTCTGGACTCTTCTGTTCCACTGATCTATGTCTATCCCTTCACCAACACCAGTCTTCATTATTGTGGCTTTATATTTAGTAAGTCTTAAAACTGGGTAGCATGATTCCTCCAGTTTTTTAAATTAAGAACTGTGAAAGTAACAGTATTCAATAAAGATGACAATATCTACATAAAGTTTTTTAGTTTCAAATTATAATCAGTAGTTTGGAAATAGGCCAGAAAAAAAAGCAAGTATGAGGGAAAGGACCAGAAAAGAGAAAAATAAAGTAGGAGGAAACAAAAGGAAAAAGAAGGGAGCATGACAGTGACACACATGAAGGGGTGGCAAGAGAAAAAGAGGAAGAGAGAGAGGTAGGGGAATAAAAAGAAAATGGGTCCGCACACAGCAGCTCCAAACCGCTACAGCTGAGCCAGTGACGCCCCTCTGTAACCATGAACACCTTCTCAGTTAGCAGTACCCACCAGAGCCAGACCAGGAGTGAAAGCAGGTCAAGGGCTCCATCCTGCTGAAGACCTACACTAGGCCAAACACTTTCCTCATTAAATAGTCAGAACAAGCAATTACCATATTACACACTTCTATTTTTACATAACCCATTACGTTAGGTTTAAGTAATCTTATATAATTGTCTGTTCACATACATAAATGGGGAGATTCTATGATCAGTATGACATTTCTTTAACTAGAATATTCCTGGTATTTTATTTAGATGTTTCAAAGAGAAAAGTGCCTGGTTCTCTGAGGATGAAATACCCACCTTGCCCATCTCACAGGGTTGTCATGAAAATGAGATCACAGAAGGGAAACTGCTTCAAAAACTGAAATTTCTTATAAAAACACTGGCTCTCCTCATCAGAAGTCTAGAGCCACGAAGTTTTGTTAGACACAGATGACAGCATCTGACTCAACTCTGAGGAACCTTAGGTGAAATCTAAAATAGTCTTCACTAGAAGCAAATCCAGATGACGACTTGATATCATCAGTATTAGTAACAGGAAATAACTCTGGGCACTTCTCTGCAACATCTTTTCTGATTATTATGAACAATTATGCAACAAGTCTGACACATCATAGGTGCTCTAGATTTTAGTTCCTTTCCTCCCAGCAAGAACTCTCAGCTGTGCCTGCCACCCTTCTTGATACAAAGTATAAAGGTTCCTCTACCAGAAAGCCTGATATTTAGAGGCATGTTTTAGAATTTCTTCACCTTACTGACTCTCCACCTACTCTCAGATCTAATCTGCCTCTAGCTCCTAATCTCCCTTGTCTGCTTTCACTATAATTCGGCTGTAGTGCTATTCAACTACGAGCAGCACTAGAAATAAAGCACGTAGGGCAGCCTGTGCTCTTGCCTGGAGCACTGGCATGTAATGGTGACGATCCAGAGCACTAGTCCAGAAGCTGTGTGTGCAACAGCTGCCTTCACATTCATTACTTACTCTCCGTTCAAGGCATATGCTCCTAGGCAAGCGATCTACATGTCTACATAGATTTACCCCAGATTAACCTGAGAACATCAAACATCTGGGGTTAACTTATAGAATTTCCACTCAGGAAAAAGGAAGACTGAGTTTTCAGATGGTAAATAATGAAAGAAAATACTGCTCCCTTATGACTCAAGTATTCCGTAAGAAAAACTGGGGGTAGGGGAAGGGGATCATTATTTCATGGACAAATTTAATCTGTGTGCACTGTTTTTTAAAGGGGAAACATGAGGAAGCTTTCATATTGAGGGAACATGCTCTACAATCAGTGCTGGGTGGTCAGCTCCTAGAGCATGACCCTATTTTACAGTTCTGATGACTCACTCTCAGAGCCTCATGGGCCTAATGAGAGGTACCCAATTTAAGGTGACAAAAGAACAGATTAGAAGTTGCTCATCCAGAGAATCTTTTAGCAGTGTGCTGGCTAAATCTTGATGGGGTACAAGCAATTAGTTTCCCAAGAGAAATAATTACTGAAGAATCCCCAATGAAGTGCGGCATGTGGAACCAGGGCTGGAGTTTCTACTGCCTGATGCTAATAAGTACTATGGTCGCAGAATAGGCTAACATCATGCACGATCCTAATTAAAAGTTGGACCATCAGATCAAAAATAACTGCCAAATGGAGACACAACTAATAGACCAGATGACAACTTGATATCTAGAAGCTGAAGATTGCTGATGAAACTCTGTGAGGAAATTAGATTCTAAACATACAGCAACATCTGGTCTTGGCCTTGGCACCCTCTCCTTGCTCTGCAGCCTTTCTCAGCAGCTAGTCTTGAAGAAGCCAAAGAAATGGTTCAAGTTGGAAAAACTCAGGTTTTTTCTACTCAAAGCCAGGTATCCCAGCGGCCCCCAAATGCCCTCACTAAATATGTTCTAAGAGGATTCCTTATTTTTCTGGGGGCAAGCTGCCCTACCCTACCTGCTCTATGTCCAGTGCTGCTCAAAGTTGACTAGCACTACAGCAAAATTACAATGAAAGCAGACAAGGGAGATTAGGAGCTAGAGGCAGATTATGTTTGCAAACAGATGGAAAACCAATTCCTTATTTTTCTAGAGTAAAATAAAGCAAATGCTAAGAATCCATATTCTCCTTTTTCTAAATCCCTCTCAGTTTCTTAGCACGTTGGTAGGCCTCTCTGTGGATAACTCAACAATTCCTTTCTTCTGGACTCATGTAGCTTCATTCCTCTTTCTTCTCCCACTCCCTGAATCTGAGGTAGGTCCCTTCCACCTCCAGCAATAACAGCCCAGCAAGCAGTGGGCATGGAAGTACAAGCAAAGAGATGTCCATTTCTCTCAGATTACCTGGTGGTAAGTGTCCGATCATAACAAAGCACTGAAACATGAGCAAAAATGTTTGAGGAAAAGCAGACATGCATTGCCAGGGTTAATCTGAGACATCAGGGAAATCTAGTACAATTCTTCAGATAAGCCCTAAGCTCTGCTTAATGATCAGCCCCATTCTGTCACTAGCCCCCTTAAATATGCACCTTCTCATTGCGCACAAAGGCCACCCAGAGCTACTATTTAACCCTTTTCAGATTCTCCAGGACAAGTACTAAGCTATGGTAGCCATCTTCCCAGGTGTGCAAAAGGCATGAAAAGATTTCCTTACTGAAAGGTCACTGCAACAAAAGGCTGCTGTGGGATGCTCTATGGAGTCAAGAAACATTACATTCGGTTTATTTTAACAACACATTCAGTTCTCCACTCAACAAATCAAAGGGGAAGCATCCCTCCAAGGGACAAGGTAAATTCTTTCACATAAGGAAGTTTCAACAGACTGACAGATCCATTCGTCTTCCCCATACTCCTCCCCTTCAGAGTTCACTGGATGCTGTTACCTGTACAAGTGACCGTTGTCTTCAAAATCTTCCTGACCCCATTTTCCCTTGATGTCTTCAATAACATGATTCTTCAGGAACTTTCTTAGCAACTGCACCGTTTGTTTGCGGGTCACTTCAGGGCCAAAGTTCTGACTGCACCTCAGCAGCTCATGTAGCCAATCCACAGCTTCGGCAGCTGTGAAGCAATGCTCATAACTTTTGAAACGACAGCGATGCTTCCGTAATGGCATCCTAGCACGAAAAAGCTCGACTGTTTCATTCCACTTGGAGAAAAAAGAGAGAAAGGCATTGAATAATCAGTTAATTTTTTAATGGTTATTGCATCCAAAATACTTAAGACAAATACAATTTTTCCATTTAGAAGGCTGCCTTAATACTAGACAGAGCTTTGAAATTTATGTATTTACAGGCTTCACACTGTAAAGAAAAAGTAATTTTTAAAAATGAATATATTCATTCAATAAATATTTACTGGAAATATTGTCATTAAGTTGTCCTATTATGTGAACTTAATGAATTTTTACATTAATGAGAAACATATGATCAAAAATAATAGTAAACAGAGCCCAATGTGCTTAATTCACTTCTTGGAGCCCTATGTTTAATATGACTTCACCTCACTCAGCAATTATTTACTGTTCATTTCATGAAAGGTATTATATGGGGAAAGGAAAAAAGAGACATAGTGCCTGATGTCAAAATGTGTTCTAAAATTCTGCAGAATGTTTTCCTATTTAAAAGTAAATCTAGGTAGTAAGGGGTAAAGGGGGCCAAATACATGGTGAAGGAAGATGATTCGACTTTGGGTGGTGGGCACACAATGCACATACAGATCATGTCTCACAGAAATACACACTGGAAACCTATATGATCTTATTAACCAATTTCACCCCAATAGATTTAATTTTTTAAAAAAGAAAAGACAAAAAATAAATCTAGACATCCACACCTTCATCAACCCTCCCTAGAATAAATGAAATGTTTACTGATGTGTTCTTCCTACATAATTACTCCAATATCTTTTAGGATCCTAGGTTTTCCACCTATCCCCCCCAAAAGTCCTGAAAACTCAGTCTTATTCCCATACCCATTCTCTCTCCTCGTACTCTTCTCTCTCAAGCATGTTACGTCACAAGCTGTGAATTTTATTTTTCATCTCCCTTCCTACTGAAATCAGATTTTCTGATTTCACCTTTTTCTCTCAGCTAGTTTTTATCTCATCATGTTCTGATCTCAGTATATTCTTTTTATTTTGCCCAACAATAGTTCCTTGTTTTCTCTTCTGATCAGGACTTTACTTCAGGTTTCTCTTCATACACTCTACTGCCCAAGCATCTCGGCAACTATTGTCCCTTTTCTCTTCTCTCTTTGATGGCTTTCTTAGCCACAGTAATAATTCCTGAGTATACATCAGGTACTTGGGGGGCTAAAGTAGGCAGGGGCTGTGCAAGCATGTGTTGGGGAAGGTCATCAAGAAGACATGAGCACCTGTTGGACCCATGAGCTGGACCCATGAGCTGGACCTGAGCAACTGGAGGCTCCCCCATCCTCCCCTGAGCTTGGAATACACACTATTTGCCTTTCCTGCTCCCAGAAGGTGCTCCAAGGACACAAGCTTGACATAGGAACGTGGTGATAAGACTATGTGGACTGGGTACATGACTAAACCCAGTTAGTGCCTCAATATAAACTTTTAAGATTTGGCAGGTAGATGCGGAAAACGACTCATCTTGTGGCTGCCCAAGACAATCCTATGTGAGTTTCCTTGCTTATCAGCCCTGCCACTGACAAATCTTGAGTGGTCTGCCGTTTTCTTTGGACTCTCCCTGCCCTCTGTGGATGGAGGATAGTTTCATATTTCACCTGAGAAGCTCCCAAAGAGGTTGCAACCCAACAGCAAGCACCTTGGACATGTAGCACAGAGTACAACACACAGTAGGTATCCAATAAGCAAATGCTTAATTGGTCTCGTGTTTTCTGCTTTTTTAAAACCACCTTCTAACTTCATGCCATTTAATTCCACTCTGACTCCCAAACATGTCTTCCGCCTGGCCAAATTCAAACATCATTTTGTCTTATGCATATTAATCCTCTTACTATATTTGACACTGTTACAGGCAATGCTCTAAATTAAGTTGGTGCAGATTTAAAAGGCCTATAAAATCTCTTTAAAACACATACAGAAACAAGGCAAGCCACAGAGTAGGGTAACAAATAACCAGGATTTCCAAAACAAAACAAAGAATTCAAATCAACAAAAAAAAGACAGACACTCCAACAGAAAAATGGAAAAAGACTTAAGCAGGTACTTCACATAAAAGGATCTCCAAATTTACCACGGCATATGCAAAGATGTTCAGTCTTATTATCAGTGAAATGAAAAAGAAATCCACAGTGCAATATCACTGTAACCAATACAAAATGGCTACAATGAAAAAGACAGGCAACATTAAGTGCTGGTAAGAATGTGGAGTAACTGGAAATCTCATATATTGCTGGAGAAAATATAAATCTGTACAATCACTTTGGAAAACAGGTTGGCAGTATCTATAGCACACCTTATAGCACAGCAATTCCATTCCTAAGTATATATCCAACAGAAATGCATATGTATGTTCACCAAAAAACACACTGTTCATAGTAGCAATATTAATAGGCAAAAACAATCCAAATGTACATCACCCTAAGAACAGAAAAATAGTGATTTATCTGTGCAATGGAGTGCTAGTACAGCAATGAAAATAAATGAACTATTGCTACATGCAACGATACAGATGAGTAACACAGATAAAAAATGTAATACTGGTATAAGAAGACCAGATATGAAAAGTAAATACTATATGAAGTAAATACTACATAAAGTTAAAAAGCAGGCAAAATTAATATGGATTATTAGAAATCATAATAACAGTGGCTAATTTGTATGGAGGTGGAGAACAGGAGGGGGCAGGCAGGCCTCTGGAATGCTGATAGTGCTACATTTCTTGATCTGGGTATTGTTACATGGGATACTCAATTTGTGAAAATTCACTGAGTTGTACACTTGAAATTTTTATGCTTAAAAACCAAAACACACACACACACATATATATATGCACACAAATACATATATATTAAAATCCTCTTTAAGAGCAATCCACAATTTTAGATTACCAACCTGAAAGTTGGTAAATATGAACTGGCTGGCTGTGGTGGTAGACTGAATGCAGGAGAGAAAGAGAAGGGAGGGTGGAGCGCAAACCATGTGAGTTCATGAAAGAGAGACTGGACATAAGCAGAGGAACAGCAAAGCAAACTGTCTACAACTACATAAAGAATAGTGGAAAAAGAGCCCATGAAGAGTCTGTGGACATTGATATAACTTTATCTGCCTATCTACCTCACCAGGTTATTGTGAAGTCAAATGAAATCATCACCATGAAAGCACTTTGTAAAAGATAAAGCATTCCTCAAACATAAGGATAATATATAAAATTTCCAGGATAACCTCTTAAAACAAATTAGGGGGTTCAATCTATTGTAGAGCTGAAAGAAACTCTGGGACAAAATCAAGACCCAAAGAGGACTCAGAAATTGGCACATGTCACTCAAGGTACTTCGTCTCAGAATAACATCTGGAATCCTATGGTCTCCTCCTCAAGTGATCATTTCATTATGCCAACTACCTATGAATGTTAACATAACTTTAAACAATTTCCATGTATTTTTAACAATTTCTTTTAATCCTCTGCTGACACCTAGCTTTCATTTAGGTGCTCATCAAGTATGTTGGGAGGTAGAGAGGGAAGGCTGATAAAAAAGATTTTCATTTATTTTATGTTAATTGAATTATCATAATCTTATCAACTAGGCTTAGTGCATAGTATTTTGTGTATTATATAACATAATAAAGACATGGCTCTCTGGAACCCAATATTTTGAAATATAAATAAATTTCAATAAATAAAATGTATTAAATAAATGAATAAAGTTTATTAATTTAATCAGGCTGGTTAGCAGTTCCTCTACTTGTTACTTTAATTACAGAATGCATATTTTAACAAATGCAAAAATATATACAAGAGTCTGCCCTCTCTCTCCAAGTCTACATACCTATTAAACATGTATACACATATATAGAATTTCCCCCATTGTTTGTATGTGTTGTTTATTATTGTTGTTTGCTTCCTTTTTAAAGAAACAAGATCAATCATACTGCACACATTATCCTACAATCTGCTTCTGTATTGAACATACCATGGATATCTTTCTATCTATGTCAATACCTGCACACCCATTCTTATGAATACAAGTTTCATAATTCATTTGATTATTTTCTAACTCACGGGCATGCAGCTATTTCCAGTTTGTGTTAAAAGTATGGTCTTGTTTATACAACCTAAAGTATCATGCTGTTATTTATTTACTTTTGATAGGACAGATTTCTAGAGTATCAGCATGTTTAAATCAGTTGTAGCAATTCACACTCCTACCAGCAATGTATGAGCCTACTGCCTCATCTTCGGCCATACCTAGGTGTTATCATTCCCTTCACTTCTGTCAACCACATACAAGCAATGCTACCTCCAGGTAGTGGTTGCATTTTCCTATCTTCATCTTTAGTCATTTTTATTTCATCATCTGAGACTTGCCATTTTTTCTATTGGGTTGTTTCTCTTTTTAATCAACTTTAAGAATTTAAATCTAAGTGCATATAAATCAGGAAAGTTAGTCTATTTTGATTAGTTCAGTATCCCCACCACCAAGGATAGTGTCTGGCATATAGTACGATGTTCAATAGATATATATTAAATGAAGAAATATGGACTATTAATTCTTCTTTAAATATTTTAGAAGTGTTTTTTCTCCTGGCTTTTCAATTTATTTATGTGGTTCTCTTGCTTTAGGAAGGTTTTGTTCTAAATGATGATGCTGTTTTAAAGAAACAAATATAATTTTTTTCTTTATGGCTTCAGGGTTTACGCTCTTAATTAAGAAAGTTTCCCCATCCTGAGGCACTAAAAATATTTACCAAAATTTTATTTTAATATCATAGAGGGATTTTATTTTAATATTTGAAACTTCGACTGAAATTTTTTATGGTGGGAGTTAAGAGAGCGCTAACTTTATTTTCTTCCAAATGGAGAGCCAATAATGCCATCCTTTTCTCACTGAATTGCAACAGTAAGTTACCTTACACATTACCTTTCTTGATTCTAAACTCTCTTTTCTATCCCAATGAGATACTTGTCTGTTCCTGTGCAATACTATACCCTTGTGATTACAGTCAATTAATACTAAGTTTAAATCTCTGGTAGGTCAAGGTGCCTACAGTCTTTAAAAATTGTTTTGAATTCTTGAACTTTTACTCTTGTGTATGAGCTTTCAACTCAATGCAGATCCCATTCAAAAGAAAATGTATCTATTGGGATTCTGATTGGGTTTTTAGCTGTTCTTTCAGCTGGTTTTCTTTTCACACTAAAAATTTTATAAGACATCCTTATCAAAGGTTCATATCTCTTATTAAATAGGGAATTGCCCGGCCGGGCGTGGCTCAGGGGTTGAGCGTCGACCTAGGATCCAGGCGATCGGGGTTCAATTCTCGGTCAGGGCACATGCCCGGGTTGTGGGCTCGATCAATGACTCTCTCATCATTGATGTTTCTGTCTCTCTCTTTCTCCCTCTCCTTTCCTCTGTCTGAAATCAATAAAGATATATTTTTAAAAAATAGGGAATTTATAAAAGACTTTTGAATTTCTTTATTTTGATTTTTAATGGCATTTATCATCACAGCTAACATTTACTCAATCCAGTGTTTCAACAAAAATTTCAAAACCTTCTGGTTTCTGCATCTACTTATTTCCAAATATAATTAAGTGGTTATTTGGCTACTCTGCCAAGAAAGAAAAATAATTAAGTTACCTTTAATTCACCATTCTCACTTACATTTAGGAAGAAAATATCCTATCCCAATAAAGAACAAGATAGAGTTTGAGAATGTGACTTTCTTCCATCACATATTACATTTGAAGAGATACTCTTTATAGCAAAGGGGACAAACAGATTTGTTTTATGATTAAAAATCTATTTTTGTTTCACTTATTTATTTCAGTCTCCTAATTTAAGAGAGAAAGAATCATAGGGCACAAATGTTTTTGCTTAACATCATGGCCTAAACTACAAAATACAACAGTATTGAAATGTGCTTCCTGTTCTTTCTTCCAGAATATTTATTCCATTTCCTTCCTTCTTAGCACCAAAATACTATGATAGTGGTGCTATAATAATATAGGCCCTGGGCAGGGAATTTGAAGACAACAAAATTCTAGATTTAGTTGTACTTGCCACATACTAGCAGTGTGAACTTGATCAAGTCAGTGAACTAGTCAAGTTAGATTGTCAAAACCAGACAATCTTTGAAGTATATTCTAGCTCTCAGATTCAATGATGGCTGTAAGTCTTTTCAAGTTTACCAGTTGCACCAGATGATATAAATAACTCAGAATTAAGTTCAAAGAAAGGATCAGTATATTTAAGTAATTTCCTTTCTCCTCATTATTTCTTTTAAAATAATTAACTATTTACATGTGGGTACAAAAATGAAAGCTATTTCAGTCATGATGAATAAGTTGCTAACTGGCATCCACATTCATCATGAACTGACTCATCAGTCTGTCATTTGATTTTTGGCATAAAAATTTACCTAGTCCATAAAATGTTATTTTCAGATAAGGCTTTGATGCTTTAGAAAACGGAGCTGTAGGCCGGCCAGGGGTGGCTCAGCCGTTGAGCATCTGCCTAGGATACAGGAGATCGAGGGTCAATTCCCAGTCAGGGCACATGCCCAGGGTTATGGGCTCGATCCCCAGTTGGGGGCATGCAGGAGGCAGATGATCAATGACTCTCTCATCATTGATGTTTCTGTCTCTCTCTCCGTCTCCCTTCCTCTCTCTGAAATCAATAAAAATATATTTTAAAACAAGAAAATGGAGCTGTATATGGTTTGCGAAAATCTAGTGAGTCACAAAAGCAACAAGTAAAGGCCTGCTCTTTGCATGCCAATATATTTTCCAAAGCTTTTCCTGAAGATTAGGTTGAGGGTGATGTTGAGAGAAGGGGTAAATGGTAAGCTGCTTTATGATTTACCTGGTAAAAGCTTTAAGGCACAATTGAATTTTGCTCAAGGAAACATTTATAAATTTCACAATGGGAGGAAAACACCTGTAATGAAAGTGGTATCAATGACAAATCAAAAATTCTTACTTAAAAAAACAACTGGCTATTGTTTCTGTGCTTTCAAAATCTTAGTTTAAGATCAAGTTTCTCAAATAGAATAAAGTTTAGAACTAGATTGACTACCTGGGAAATTCTGGTGAAATTGAGGTACTTTCATTAATTATTATCATAATTTAATTTTCTGCTTAACTTTATCAGTGTTGGCTAAACTAGGCTTGAATATCACTTCTTGGGGACTGAAGACTTCTGGAGAGTAGAAAGCACTTTTCTTTATAAATTCCTTTGATAATATATACTTTTAATAAGGGAAAGTTTAGTTAGAAAGTTACAGAAATAGAAGGGTCCTTGAGCTTAGGAGAAAGAGGGAGAGATACATGCTTTGAGGAAAGGAGGAGAGGTCCAGGCATGACCTGGGGAAGAGAGATCATGCCCTGGGGAAAGGCACATGGGCAGCTCCTCACATGACAATATTGTAATGTGACTCAGGATCAAGCACTGTCCAATACACAGGCACTCTGCATCTATGAAGAGTGGTACTTCATACATTTCTGTGAATATGAGATTAAAAAACAGTTCCAATTATGATGTGATTTTTTTTTTTTTCAGCAGAAAGAATGAGAAACAGTTGTGCCAATATTCAAAGCCTCTCCGTTTCTCTTGCATAAGTGATGTGAACATATCGGGGGAGATGGGAGGATGTGTTATTTTCCTTCCTCAAAGAGAATAAAGTTTTTGAAAGACCCTGATAAAGCACAATCTCTAGTTCATCCCTGACATTGAACCTACCAGATGGTTTCAAATACTAGGGACAATTGTGAAGCAGAAGCAGATATAAAAACGTTATTTTTAAAACACCTTATTTGTTCCCTAAAAAGAACATCTAAAGAGGCTAGCAGAAAAGAAAATCAACATCTGTAGAGGCTAGCTGAAAGGAAAACTTAAATTTGTATTTATTGATTGATTTATTTATTTTTTTTAATGAATCACTCTGGGTGTCTGTAGCAGATTGTTTGCAAAGATGAATGCAATCATCCCCCCATCCTGTTCACAGGTACCTCTGTGATGTGACTGCAATTCTGTCCACAAAGAAGTGGAACTGACTAGGGAATATAGTCAGTAATACTGTAATAGATAGGTATGGTGTCAGGTGGGTACTAGGCTTTTGGGAGAGGGATCACCTCATAAGTTATATGTGTCTAACCACTATGCTGTACACCTGAAATATTGAACGTCAACTATAACTGGAAAAAAAAAATTTAACAAAAAAGAAAAGTGGAACTGAATCTCTACAATCTGGATGTAGCTGTTTGATGTGCTCTGACCAATGAGATCTAAACAAAAAGTTTCAAGCAAAAACCTTCTTTTGGTTATGATGGAACCACTATCCCCTATGTGAAGATTCTTGGTCCCGCTAACAGCCAAAACCAAGTCAAGGGGCCATCTTAGACCATCCTGTCCTAGTCACACCACCAGATGATCATGACACATGAATGGCCCCAACAGAAGAACCACTGACAAGCCCAGGCCAGACTGCTGACCCACAAAATTGTGGGCGAGTAAACGGTTAAGTCAAATGAAACAATGCTAGACTCTTCAAGTTCCCTGAAATCATAATTATAATTTCATGAGTATGTGGCATGTGCACTATTCTGTAAGAAGGAGATAATCTTTATAAGATTCTCAAAGAGGTCTATGAGCCAAATAAAAAATTAAACAACCATCTGCCCCAACCGCGGTTTCTCCTAGGAGCTGTCTTTCTAAGCTCTGGCTTGAGCCCACCAGTCATCTGACACTGGCTCTGGAAAGAAAAGGAAACCCTAATCATATCTCCCACTGTCCCACTGTCCTCATCTCTTCCACATTAAGGAGTCTAGTTGATTGAGAGTTTGGAACTTAACTCCCCTCTTTTCCTGGATATACATTAGGGTGCGCAGAACAATTCCCAAGTTAAGATGTGACCAGAAGTTGTGTCCCAAATTACCATTACTTTCATAGAAAGCTAAAGACCTGCCATGGACATACCAAATTGACATCACGTCTCGCTTTGCGGTAATCCTTTGAAACAGAAATCACTACAATTACTTGCTCCAGGTCATAAACAAGTCAAGTAAGTACTTGACTGGAATACCCCTCAGAACTCTGAATACCAAAGCTCTTCCCCCAGCAGAAAAGGCCCGGATCACCAGGGTCTGCAAAGGCTCTTTCGGGCAACCAGGCCCCCCCTCATCTGAGTCGGTGATGCCAAAACAACAGAAACGCCAACCGGAAATACGGCCGGGACGATCCACCTCAGTTTTGGGCACCGTTACAAAGAACCTCAAGTGTCACCACAAGTGACACGCCCTGCCCCGACTGCAGGAGGGGGTGGCCCTGAGGTTATGAACTGGGTTCTCCTCCGCTGGCAGCAGTCGCAGGGTTACTCAGGACAAAGAGGCTCGAGGGAGAGGGGTCACCTGGTCCTCCCCGCTTTCAAATTGGGAGGTGCCGCTGATTGCCGAGAACACCGCCAAGGTCTCGGAACAAAGCTGCGCCCCTGACGGCCTGGGCTCTGGGCCCCGTTTTCCTTTTTTTTAACAACGTCCCGAAAACGGCGGCGACGACCTAAAGCTGGGCCGGGCCGGGCCTGACCTTCCGAAGCGAGGAGTGACCCGTCCGCGGTAAGGGCGGGGGATGGCGGGGCTGGAGGCATTGCCCACGCCCTCTCTCGCTCCCGCTCATGCTCCCGCTCCCGCTCCCGCTCACTCACCAGCCTGGTGGCCCGGTACGGCCCGGGCCCCACGATGCGGTGCTCCATGGCCCCCACACAGAGGCGGCGGCGGCAGCGACAGCGCTAATCTCCGCGAACCCTCGGAGCCCCGTTTGAATTGCGAGCCTGCGCGCAGCGGGCGCTGATTGGGCGTCGCGGCGGCACGTGACGGGAACTGCTCCGGGACTCACAGCTTGGGGGCGGGGCCGCCGGGACGCACAGCTTGGGGGCGGGGCCGGTGTTTCCCTGGAGTCCTGCGGGGGGCAGAGCTGCGGGCGCGCTCGCAGCCGGGAGCAGGTCGGTTCCCGGCTCTTGCCGCACCTCGCGCACTCTCCAGGGGGGTGCGGACTGACCATACTGGGGTGTCTCCGCCACGCCCTGGGGAGAAGGTGCCTGGAGTCCCCCGCCGACTACCCCACAGCCTGTCCACCCCGCACACGCAAGCTCTCCACAAAAACGTCCATGGACGTCTGTGCCTCAGTGCCCGAAACCCGCGGGGCCGGGTAGAGATCCGCGTCCGCCCTTCCGAGTGCGCGGCCGAGTGGGGAGAAGTCGGTTGTGAAATGGAGCGAGCCCCCGGCGTCTGCGGGTGGAGGCCGGGGAAAAGCCAGGCGGGCGCTCCGCCGCCGGGAGCGTGGGTAAGAGCGAGCCACGGCGCTGGACCGGAGCCCCGGTCCGCGTTCCTGTCTGTCGTCTTGAAAGAGCACGTTTTCCCTGGAACTTGATACAAACTTCTGTAGTTTGTATCAGATCGAATTTTTCGGGCCGTTGCCGCAGAGCTGTGAGTTCTTTCTTCGCTGCTCAGGACTCGCCCCACCTGGGAGTTGGCCTCACGTTCAGTTTTCCCGAGGGACGAAGGAGGCGCCAGCCCCCTGCCGGTGCCCGGGGCTCAGGGTGCAGGTCTGATCGCCTCCGGGAGCACTCGGGGTGCGACTCACGGGAGAGCTGAGTGGAGAGCCCGGTTCCCTCCGTAGCCCATCTTCATAGACCCCTTCCTCCATTTGCTGACTTAGGTATGTATTTGTCTGAATTTAGAAAGTCAGAAAAGTTCCTGGGATGATGCATATGTGTTTTGTAATCAGAAAGAGCAATAAAGATCATTTTATTTCCAAAGAGTGAATCCTTATCATAACTAAGTCAG